AAGGCACCAAGTTTTAAAAAGGATATGAGAAAGAAAAGGGGGATTCATATATACTGGTGGAAACAACATTGCTACAACCATTTAAGGAACGATTTGTTAGTGTCTAGCAGAGCTGAAAATATGTTTACCTTCTAGGAATTTCCTAGAGAGATTTTCACATATATACACAAGATGCATAGAAGGATATCTTTGCCACATGGTTTATAGAAACAAAAATTGGAAACTTAAGTCTGCTTCAATAGGGAAATGAATATTCTAAAGCATTTAAAACTAATGGACTTGATCTACCTACAAAAACTTTGTTGAAAACAAAAAACAAAATAAATGAACAAGCCAAACAAAACCACATAGATAGAGAAATCAGAGTAGTGGTTACCAGAGGGAAGGGGCTGGGGGAGGTGGGGAGGGGGTGTTGCAAAATGGGTAAAGGGAATCAACTGTATGGTAACAGATGGAAACTAAATTCTGGGTGGTGGGCACACTAGTATTTACAGAAGTAGAAATATAATATTGTACACATGAAACTTTTAAACCAATTTTAACCCAATATGGGAATTCTCTGGTGGTCCAGTGGTTAGGACTCGTTGCTTTCACTGCCGTGGGCCCAGGTTCAATCCCTGGTCCAAGAACTAAGATCCCACAAGCTGCGTGGTGTGGCCAAAAACAACAACAGCAACAAAAAAACAATGTTAACTCAATAAAAAACAAATTAACAAAACCCTTGTTGAATGAAAAAAGCAAAAAGATATAGTACGATCATTTATGTAAAATTTTAAAAATATACTACCTAATATAAAATCATGATTGGAAAGAATACACCCCAACTTCTGGGGAGGCAGGAAGGAGAACAGAGTGGGAGGTGGGTCTAAACTCTAATATTTCTTACAAAAGAAATCTGACACAGATATGATAAAATATTAACATTTTCAAATCTGAGTGTTAAGAAGTAGAGCTCAATAGATTGTAAGTTTGGGACTTCCCTGGTGGTCCAGTGGTAAAGAATCCTCCTTCCAGTGCAGGGGATGCGGGTTCAATCCCTGGTCAGGGAAACTAAGATCCCACATGCTGCGGGGCAGCTAAAGCCACTATTAGAGAGAAGCCCACGTGCCTCAACGAAGGAAGAGCTCGAGCGCTGCAGCAGCAGATCCTGCATGCCTCAATGAAGATCCTACATGCCTCAATGAAGATCCTACATGCCGCAACTAAGACCCAATTCAGCCCCCCCAAAATTAATTAAATAAATAAATAATAAATTTTTAAAAAATAGATTGTAAGTTCCACAAGGGCAGAGATGTTTGTTTGGTTTTGCTGATCTGTCCCATAGGCACTGCCCTCCAATTCCCCACCCAATAGATTTTTTTTTTAAGATTATACTACTTGTTTCACTCTTCAGAAATTCAGACCCAAGGGCATACAGCTAGTAAGTGACAAAGCTGGGATCTGCTCAGGGTCTGGAATTCTTTTACTTGTCCCATGTTGCCCAGAAAAGTTAGATTCTTGGTATTCGTGAAACAGATTTATACATGTTACTCCACACTGTTAACAATGAAAACTCCTATACAAAGCATGATGTAAATTCTTCTAAATGGTGGAGCCTCACACACACAACTTCCTCTAAGAGTATAAGCTACTCAAGGGCTAAACCAGTATTTATCTCATACCAATTATTTATCTCTTTGTTTCCAGTGCCCAGTACAGTTTAGGGCTCAGATTGAACTGGTCTTGGGAATGTGGCCAACTGTATTAGAGTTTATGTGATTTGGCAGATGATGAACCCTTCTCCTGTGTGACTGATGAAAAATCCAATTCAAACTGACGTTTCATGTTTCTAGGAGCTTGAAATTGTCATTGGAGATGAACATATTTCTTTCACAACGTCAAAAATTGGTTCCCTTATTGATGTCAATCAATCCAAGTAAGTATCCATGATCCTTATATCCAGATGTGTCTGTTTTAGAGCAGGCTGATATGAAACCCTTAACCAAATTGGGACCATTATGGTAAGATCTGGTACAAATGTAAGACAGAATTGGTCAGCTTTGTCCCCCTCAATAGAGAGACTCCAAATTATATATTTTCAAGGGCTTGCTCCTTTTGCTTTTGGTGTTTTAGTCAATCATTGCTAATAAGAGCTTCTCAGTGACACACACACAGAGTAATGCCATAAGAGCAGCCAAAGTGGGTAAGAATCTGGCCAGAACAGAAATGAAACACAAAAAAACAAGTGCTGGAAATAAACTGTAGAATCAATGAGTCTGAACACCTTCCTCCGTGTTGGCTATTCCGATAGCACATCTTAAAGCCTGACTTTAGTGAAACTTGAAATTATTCAGAATATAAGTTTAAAAATTCATTTTGTCAGTAGGGTAAAATATAAAGTTGAGACATGAATCTACATGCCACAAAGAATCCTTAGAATTTGGCAACCTCTTTGGCTCTTGTGCTTTGAGGATTTGGGGTTAGATATGGCTCACCTTTAGTACATGTTAGGCATAACTGTCTTCCTGTGAACAGTCTTGTTCTTACCCAGTTATGCTGTAGTAATCTTCAGCCTCTTGGTCCTGCTTAGTACTACTTCAAAAATAAGTTTTCCTAATTCTGAAAGTAATACATGCTCATTGTTGAAAATATAGGAAATACAGAAAAGTAGAAAGGTGAAAATAGCCCGTAAACTTATCAATTAGATAACCATTAATCTTAAAGTATTTCTTGTCTTTTTCCTGTGCTTTAAAAAATATATATAATCTTTTAAAGCACAAAAAATGTAATTGAGATCAACAGTCTGTTACTTTAATCATGATTTTTTCCCACTTAATATAAGCATTTCCTCATTAAGAAGAAACCTTAACATTTTAAATTACCTCATAATATTACATTTTAATATATAGTACATAGGCTTTTTCTTTTTGGACACTGGGTTGTTTTCAAAGTTTTAATTCTGTAAATACCTCTGTGAGGAATATCCTGGTACATAAATAATCTGGGTTAGTAAATGGTATTTTTTTGCTGAGTTTTCTCAGCTTTTTAAACATTTTTTTCTTCTTGCATTATAGGGATCCAGAAGGCTTACGAGTATTTTATTATCTTGTCCAGGACCTGAAGTGTTTGGTCTTCAGTCTTATTGGATTACACTTCAAGATCAAGCCAATCTAGATTGAATATTTGTGTGGACACAAGGTGGGTGGGAGTGCTGCTTTTAATTACCATTATCAAGACATTTTTGTGTATATCAGGGCAGGATTTTTTTTTATAAACTAGAAATGATTGTCTTTAATAAATACGTAACAAAATGCAATTTTTATTATAAAGACCCGAACATGTGCACTCTTCTCAATTACTTTTTAACACTAACATGCTATGTGAAGTATTGCCAAAAATCTAATCAACTCTATACATATACCTACCAGTTTACAGGAAGTAAAAGAATAGAGAAACATGCTAATAAATACAGTGGAAATCCAATCAATATCCTTGTCCTGGGAAACTCCAGGACAAGGGATCTGATTTCTTCAAAAAATAAGCTGCAAACATAAAATAAATGGAGATGGAGTGAGAACCTATAAAAGGAGATTTGAGAGACACACAATACAACATTTGAACCCTATTTGGATCATGATTCAGGAAATGTAAAATTGACATCATTAAGGAAATTTGAACATAATATTTGGTATTAATGAAGTATTGTTAATTTTTTAGATGTGAAATAGTATTGTGGTTGGTATTTTGGGTTTTGTTGTTTTCATCCAGCTTCATAACTGAGGTTGGGGGTTTTAAAATCACCTTTATAGATATATCTGAAGCTACTTCAGTATGGGGGGAAATATTTGGTTTAATACATATAAGGGATAAAATGCCTGGTCTCAAAACTTTTCCAATAATTCATTTTAAAATCAGAATACCAGCGGCCATTAAGAAGCAACCTAGTTGTTGTAGATAGTGTGGGGATTTTTTCAGCAGGTAAATCTGTAGGAACTTTTTCTTGCTGCTAAATTGCATGGCTTCCTTAATGAGGCAAATTGCTGACTGAACAGACAGTGGGCGCTGAAAGGAACTAGGTCTTGATAAATCTCATTTGACTGAGGGAAGGTGATTAGGCTGAGCTCAACATCCCTCAAGACAGGCCAACTTGGGACAGGTCCCAAGTCTGGTGACTCCTAGGCAAGTGTTCCTCCACAACACACACACACACTCTGCCTCCTTCAAAGATTACAGGGCAACAAGTTAGGTGCAGATCTGGGACCTGAGATGTCAGGCTTCCTGGCTATAGTGCACCCTCTGCTACAGAAGGGTACCTGGCAATCAGGTAAATTCGTGGCAAAGTAGACATCCGAAAAGGGTCACTCCAAATTTTAAAGAAACTAGACCTCAGGAAGCTGTAAAAGCCTCAAACAGGCTGTTCCTTATAATGCTCACAGCTTCTGTATGGTCTCAGCTGTACCCTGCACAAGAGCACAGGTTCAGTAAATGTATGACAGAAAATAAACCAGGAACTCAGAGAAGAGCCAGCTGAAAGGGAGTGTCCAGTCTTGGCGACCACAATGAGGACATGTGCACGAGCCAACCCCCTGAAAGGTCCCCTGGGGGAAGGAGGAAGGAGCAGTTTAAAGATGAAAAAGGTCCCGTCTCTCAAACCTACGAAGCCGGCCCTGGGCTGGGTGAACGTGATCTAAGAAGCCTCCAAGGGCAGGCAGGGACCAAGCGCGAGGTTGGGTGAGGGAAGGCAGAGTCTGAAGGGCAGGAAGCGGACCCCGCAGAGGTTTCGGGCAGGACTGTCTTGTTTGCTGCGGTATCCCTCAGACTAGCATGGCGTTCAGTAAATATCTGGAATTACCGATTGCTGGAGGCAGCCTTCCGCGGGTCTGAGCACCGGCTAGTTGCGGATTCAGCCTACCTCCACAAGACCACTTTGCCTGGGACAGAAAGCCAGGTGTGCGGGGGTAGCCCCGGCGCGCTGAGACCCGCCCCGCGCCCCGCCCAGAGCCGCAGCGAGGGTGCGCATGCGGCGCCCGCCGTTTACGACGGGCCGGAAAGCAGTGGGCGCAGCCAGCGCCGGCTGAGCCGGGTCGCTATGGGGGTAAGCGGAGGCGAGCTGCTGCCGGGGCAGAGGCCGGGAGGTGGCGAGAACCTGGGAGGCAGGAGCTCGCGCCAGGAGGGAAGGAGGGGAGTGGGCTCACGCTGAGAAGGAGCGGGGAGGCACAGCTCATGCCGGGAGGGGAGGAGAGGGGCGGGGCCGGGCAGGGGCTAGGCGCGGGGCTGCCCGGGCGCTGTTGACGCCGTCGCCCTGGCGCTCCTCCTCTCAGAAAATTGCGCTGCAGCTCAAAGCCACGCTGGAGAATGTCACCAACCTCCGGCCAGTGGGCGAGGACTTCCGGTGGTACCTGAAGGTAAGGCTGTGGTGGGGGCGCCAGGGCCGGGGCCGCGTAAAGGTTTCCCACCCTGATCTCAGTGGTGAACGGGAGCTTTCTCTCCAGCTAGATGAGAAATGCTTATTAAATGTTTTCTTTTCTTCTGGGTAGAATTTTATGTTTGCTTTTTTAAGTTTATTGGTCAATTCTTTTTAAAAAATTTTATTTATTGGCTGCGTTGGGTCTTCGTTGCGGTGCGCAGTCTTCTCATTGCGGTGGCTTCTCTTGTTGCAGAGCACGGGCTCTAGGCATGTGGGCTCAGTAGCTGTGGTACACGGGCTTAGTTGTTCCCCGGCATGTGGGATCTTCCCGGACCAGGGCTCGAACCCGTGTCCCCTGCATTGGCAGGAGGATTCTTAACCACTGCGCCACCAGAGAAGCCCTACAGGTTAATTCTTAATTGGCAGTATCTTGAAATATCTTTTGTAATTTTTTCCTCCGTAACATATTTCATGGTATATAAACAAACACTAAACGAAAGGCTACTTGAAGGGATCTTGTGATGACTTAGTAAGAATAATTTCACCTTCTCTTTTGTTGTTCAGGTTTTATTTACTGTGAAATCATTTAATTTTGTGCATGGCTCCATTCTTAATTCCCCATCCTGTATTGGTAAATCTGGTACTCTAGTGAGATGGTATACAGAGGTCCTCTTCTTAACTGAGCAGTTTGAGGTCCTTTACTCTCCCAGATCCCGGAGCTTCTGATCTGTTTTCCTTTTAGTCTAAATCCCAGAATCCTTCAGTACCTGACAAAAGCCCTATCTTTCAGGAAGCATTCTGCCCACCTTTATTTACAAATATTTTGAAGCCCGAGTGCCAGGGCTTATATGAGGAGTTGATGTTTCCTGGCTTCAAAAAGCAGAGTCTAGAGAAGGAGACGAAGGAGTAGCAACAGAGTGATAAATACTTTTACCAGGAACCTACAGGGCCTGTAAGGACACACAGGAAGCGCCTAACTCAACCGGGGTGGGGGGGGGGGGGGACTTTGAAGCCATTTCTGTACTACTTGAGCCTTGAATCCCTAGCCAGACTGGGGACTTCTTAGAGGAGGATGAGCAAGCCAACACGAGAAACACTTTGCCCAGAGAGAAGTCTAGTTATGTCCTTAGTGGGGCTGGTCATAAGGATGAGGTAAGATTGCTGACAAGATGATGAGCCTGCCCACCTCACACTGTTCTTACCCTTCCCTCAGCATCTGCCCAACTGAGCCAACTTCTTTACTAATACTCTTTTTCCCCCTCCCCAAGATGAAATGTGGCAACTGTGGTGAGATTTCAGAGAAGTGGCAGTACATTCGGCTGATGGTAACTGCTCCCCCCCCCCCACTATACCCATATACAGACACACATAGGCCTCTGGGCAGGGATATGTGGCCCTCACCTCCCCGGTCTTTGGACCCCGCTTTTTGTGGTTTGGGAGGGCAGGCAGAGTGTGATCAACTGGGAACAATGGGCTTTGGGATGTGAGGCAGAGTTCAAAATCAAGGGGAAGTCCTTTCCTCGCTCTCAAGAAGCCTTCCCAGGATTCTTGTCCTAGCAAGTTGCTCACCCTGTCTGGGTCTTGGTAGATATAGATGGTGTGTATTTAAATATTGTTATAATATTAATTGATAATAAGTGGTAGGACTGGGTCTCCTGGGGACCCTTACATCTGACTGATATGTGACTAGAGGTTCTGTTTACTGCTTGCCAGGACAACGTGGCACTGAAGGGAGGCCGTGGCAGTGCCTCCATGGTCCAGAAGTGCAAGCTGTGTTCAAGGGAAAACTCCATTGGTAGGTAGGCCATGGATATTGACTGACCTCTGCCAGGCTGGCCATCGGCTTTGTGGTGCCAGACTGAACGCATGCTCATGTTACCTGTGGGTGGACCCAGGCCTGAGGTATCCAAGCTTCTGCCGTAGACTCTTGCCCAGAGCCACATCTGGGTACCTGGGTGGGGCCGGGATATGGACTTAAATCGACTTTGTCTTCTCTTTTACCTTTCAGAGATTTTGAGCAGCACCATCAAACCTTACAATGTAAGTTTCCTGCTGCAGTGGCAGGCATGGTGGGATCAGATCCAAGCCGGGAACTAGGAGGCCTGGGTTCTTGAGTTATATCTGCACCAGAGTGACCCACATGGAACTGACGGACTTCATGTGCTTACTTGTTCGTTCATTCACTCAGTCATTCATTCGCTGTCAGTCATTCATTCACCTTACCCTGACTGAGTGCTCGGCAGGAAAAAGACTCGTAACTAGGCTATTGTAAGTGTTGGGCTGTGGGAGCCTAGGGGACCTCTGACCCAACCTGGCCACTCCGTTTCCATCACTGGGAACACTTGCCTTGTCTACATCTTGGAGGGCTAGTGAGCCTTCTCTGAATCCATGGATGAGACAGTGCATCCATCCTTGATATTTGATTTTATTAAGTATTTATACGTTACTGCATTAACAGATTAGTCCAAAGGTGAGGGAGGGAGTGTATGCTTTGGGTCTGTGTCTTCATCCATTCCTACTTGGTATTTTTGAAAAATGTCTGATTTATGCCAAATTCTCAGCTTTGTCCTGAAGTTAAAGGGAAAAATCACACAAGGACTTACACTCAAGTAAATCATAATCTAGTGCAAGACAGACCAGCGAACAAAAACCAGTCCAGGGCCAGACACAAGGCTGGTGTGCAGGAAGCATTTCTACAGTAAATGACAGAATGAGAATGAATGTGTGGGTGTGTCCTTGGGGTCTGTGGGCCCAGGGGTCAGGGAGGCATGAATTTCCTGGCTGTACCACCCCCCTTGGTGTGCCTCCTCCACATGCATATCCCACTTCAAAGGCTTTAAGTCAGCCCCTGCCTTGACAGCATGGCGGATGGTTAGCAAAGGGCCACAGCGAAGTGTACTGGGGCCTTTTGGATGACCTGGAAACCTTATAGGTTAACATTCTTCATAGTTTTTATTTTGATAATTTTATCTACCATTCATTGAGCATAGTATCGGGACCTATACTGGGCAATTTACACCTAGTTCAGGTTCTCATAATAAACCTGTAGTGGTTTCCTCAGCTCCAGCTGACGATCTTAGGCCCAGAGGAAAAGAGAGGCAGAATTGTGTGTGAGCTCACATCCAGGCACTCTGACCCCAGAGCCCACATCCAGGAAGATCTCGTGGCAAGCAGGTGTCAAGGCAGCCTTCTTCCAGAACGGGATGAGTTGCCCCTGAGTCCCATTCTGGGCTCTCAGGGGCTGTGGAGTCAACCTGAGGGCACAGTTAGACCTACCTCCTCAACACACTTCCTTTCTAGGCCGAAGACAACGAGAAGTTCAAGACGATAGTGGAGTTTGAGTGCCGAGGACTTGAACCAGTCGATTTCCAGCCCCAGGTGCATGTCTTCCTGGGGAACCTGTATCTTTGGGGAGGGCGTATAGGAAGTGACAGTAGAACTTGCTTCCTACAGAGACCGTGGACTAGGAATTCTCATTTCTAAGAATAACAGTTGTTATTTGTTAAGCATCTAATATATGTTGGGCACCAGGCTTGTCACTTTTAATGTTACCTCCCTTAATCCTCACAGTAACTCTGTGAAGTTATACATCCTATTTTTCAGATGAGAAAAGAACTTCAGAGATTTTGCCACTTGCCCAGGGTGATGCAGTTAGTAAGCAATGGAGCTGTAATTTGAACCCACATCTATCCGACTCCAGAGCCAGTGCTCAGGCCACTTTATTTGTGTAGCATTTTCACCTCACAACCCTGTGAAGTAGGCAGAAGAGAGAGTATTGTCATCCCCGTTTCATAAGTAAGAAAACTGAGGTCCAGAGAGGGAAGTGACGTGCCCAGGTGTTTCAGAAAATCAAGGGTAATGGACGGGTTTACCCCACACCTCCTGCCTTCTGGGCCAGGGCTCTAATTTGGAGAAACCACTCTAGTCCCAGGGCAGCTGCCAGGGCATGGAAGCTCAGTAGTTATTCCAGAACAGTAGCCCAACTGTATTTCTGTCTTCCCATGCCAGAGGTGTTGTGAGAAAGGCCAGTTCCCTGACCAGGCCCCACAGGCCAGACCAGTGCCTCCGTTCCCCTAGATTAACCGCTGCCTTCCTGTCACCTGCAGGCCGGCTTTGCTGCTGAGGGTCTGGAATCCGGGACAGTCTTCAGTGACATTAATCTGCAGGAAAAGGTACGGGACTTGGGGGCCTTGCAGGGAGCTCTAGGGCACCTGGTGGGAATAACCCTTTTGGTGAACAAGGCTCTTCAGTGGGAAGCCGACTCCACACTTCCGTGCTTTTTGTTGGTGATTTTGGTGTTTACGATAGCCCCAAGTGTAGTGCTAAAGCGTTGCCTAGTGTTCACATGCAGGAAAGCTGGGTGTGCCTTACAGAGAAGATACATGTTAGACAAGCTTGTTCAGGTGTGAGATACAGCACTGTTGGCTGTGAGTTCAGTATTAGTGAATCAGCTATATATATATACATATATATATATATATATGTATGTATGTATGTATGTTAAATAAGGTGTTTTTAAACAGAATCATATGCTCCCAGGAACCTAACCCTGTTATTTCCCCTGGGAGCAGTGATTCAGTATTCACTAATACAGTGTTTGTGGGGACTTTGTAGAACATAACTACTGTGAATACCAAGAATCAACTGGACATGTTACTGCCTTGCAGATAAGGAAGGCTTGTGGTCAGGCCTCAGAGGAAGGAAGGACAAAATCATTCAGTTTGCATAGCACCTAATAACAGTAATTGGATTTACTGAGCTCTCATATGTGCCTGGCCCTAGGCTAAATACTTTTACATGTGTTAACTCTTGATTCTTTCAACATTCAGTGTAAAATCTACTTCTGTCCTCTTTTTTTTTTAAATAGAGGACAGAACGAAGGCTCAGAGAAGTTAGTGACTTGCCCAAAATCACAAAGCTAGAAGAGTAGGAATTCAGGCCCGAGCAGTCTGGCTCTGTCCTGGGTCTGACGTGTTCCTGAAGATTGAGCCGGAGCCTGAGCTGGGCCTTTTAAGTCCTAGTCCTCCACTCCCCATGCTGTCCAGGCTGCCTCGTGAGGCTAACACTGCCATTTTTCCCCACAGGACTGGACTGACTATGACGAAAAGGCTCAGGAGTCTGTGGGAATCTACGAGGTCACCCACCAGTTTGTGAAGTCCTGAACCCTCTTCCTGCACACTTGCCTCTTAAGAACTGAAAAGGGACAACGTGCCCCAAGCAGCACAGTGCAGAGGCTGGTCCCCTCACGTCTCGCCTCCTGGCAGCTGCCCAGGCCCTCACAGCCTGCGTGCTGGGCTGTCACAGCGTCCCGAGCCCCACCAATAAAGCCCCTGTTTGTGCTACACTGGTGGATGAACAACCACTCTACTCCCTCCGCTCCCCTTCATGTTGGAGGGCTTTGATGGCTTCTTGGCACCTTCCCACAGTACAGAATCTTAGCCAGATCCAATTTGCAAAATAGGAACACAGAGCTCCTAAGGGCTCTCAAGCTCTTGGGGAGAGCACAGGCCACCCCAGGGGACCAGAGGTGTCAAACTCATTGGTACAGAGGGCAGCGGAGCCTGCGGAATGATGTCATGAGCCAGAACGTCACGTTGACCACCTTGGCTCTTGGGTAAACCCAGGCAACTCTGTTCATTGGTGTCACTGCATATTCCAGGGACAGAAGGGACTTTGGAGGCCAGCAGTTCCATCCTGGCATGAATCTTCTCTCTCCAATCCCTGCCAGATGGTCCTCAGGTCTTTGCTCACTTGCTGTGATGGGGCAATCCCTCTCACCAAGGGAATCCGTATGAAAGTTCTTCCTTATGCTGAGTCAGCCTCTATGCTTCCTTTAGCTCCTCCAGATGGTCCTGGTTTGTCCCCTTTGTGGTCACACTTCTGTGTTCTTCTGCCCCTGGACAGCCCTGTGGAGGTGTGACGACAACAGTCCCGGCCTCTGTGTCTCGTGGGCCTGGATCCCTGGGTCTAAAGAGCCTCTTACAGTGGATAGAGTTGTTCAGTGCACAGTTAAGTCATGAGGGCAAGCGCACGTCTTCATACCGGTGACTCCACCATTCGGAAAACCTGTCACGAGAGACCTTACTCCTCTCCAGTGTTCTGCTGCAGCCTGGAATTCTTTGGAAGAATTACTACCTTCATTTTCTGAGTGGCCTTCTGGGAAAGAGTCTGCCCACTCCGAGGCTGGCTGTGGAGCTCTAGGAAGGGGCTCCTCAGAGGCAGGTAAAGCTGGCCATGGCCAAGGGTGGGGAAGAGATGCCTGCCCTGTCCCCTCTCCAGTCTGGCAGCTGTCACGTGTCCTCTAGGTCCCCTGTGTTCCCGGCCCCTGGGCCTGTGCTTTCTGCACCTGACAGAGCAGGGCTTCTTTGGCCTCCCTCGGCCAGCAGCTCCACCAGCCCCCACCGACTAGAACGGTCCATTGCCTGGCCTGAAAGCAAACAAGGGAGCGTCGGGCTGGATAAACAGGCTTTCTGGGTTTTAGTCTCCATACTAGCCAGTATGTGTTATAAAGGCAAGCACTAAAAGGATCTCAAGGTTTTCTTTATATTGTAAATTATTTTCTCATCTTGTAGGGAGTAGAGGAACCCAAGTAATCAGTAACAGATGGAACATAGATTATGTCAACAGATGCAGAAAAAGTATTCGGCAAGATTCAGCAACAAACCATAGAGATGCTTAGCAAACTAGGAACAGAAAGGAACTCCCCTTACCTCACAAAGGATATCTACAGGAAACCCGGAGCAAATGAAATGTTTGAAGCACTCCATTCACGGCTGGGGTGAGATGAGGATATCCTGGATCACTATTCATCACTGTCCCTACACTGCCCCTGCCGCAGCACTTAGACTGAAAAGAAAGTAAGGTGCAAGGACTAAAAAGGAAGAAATAACTCACTTTTCACAGATTTTGATTTTCCACTTAGTGAATCCAAAAGCATCAGGTGCTGGATTTAAGATCAATATACAGAAATCAAATGCATTTCAGTACACTGGCAACATGTAAAACACAATTCAAGAGAAAATACCATTTACAATAGGAACAGCAACCAAAAAAATACCCCCAAAGGTAACTGGGAATTAAGTCTATCAAAGATGTTTCATGACCAATAAATTGGTCAAAATGGCAGAGTAGAAAGACCCTTAGCTCACCTCCTCTCACGAGCACACAAAGATCACAACTGTTTGTAGAACAACCATCAATGAAAAATATGGGAACCTCCTGGAAAAGATCTACAACTAAAAATATAAAGAAGGAACCACACAAGATGGGTAGGAGAGGCAGGCTTATGATACAGTCAAGTCCTGTACCCCCAGCTGGATGACCCACAAATGAGGGTAATTATATTGCAGAGGATCTTCCCACAGGAGTTCCTGTACTGGGAAGAAGAACCCACAGAGCAATTGGCCTTGAAGGCCAGAGGGGCTTGGTTTCAGGAGTCCCACAAAACTGGGGAAAGAAGAAACTTAAAGGGCACACAAAAACCTCACATGCTCTGGAACTCAGGGTAAAAGCACTAATTTGATAGAAGCCTGGGCCAGACCTACCTGCTGGTCTTGGACAGTCTCCTGCGGGGGGGGGGGGGGGGGGGCGACTGTGGCTCCGCTGGGGACATAGACACTGGTGGTAGCCACTCTTGGGAGCTGCTTCTACCGCATGGCCCCTGGCGCTGGTGGGCACCACTGTGGGTCCCGTCCTCTGGCTCATTAGCACCAAGACCTGACCCCATACAACAGCCTCTAGGCACTGGGGCTGGGATGCCTCAGGCCAAGCAACTAACTGGGTGGGGACACAGTCCCTCCTGTCAGCACACAAGCTAAAGACCTCATGAGCCCAGAGCCACCTCTGGACACTGCCCTGCCCACCAGAGGGCCCAGGGCCCAGCTCCACCCACCAGTGGGTAGGCACCAGTCCCAGAACCCCCTGGGCCCCAACCCTGCCCTCCATGAAGTCTGCTCTAACCTTTGGACCAGCCTCACCCACAAGAGGACAGACACGAGAGGCAAGAAATCCGCAATCCCACAGCCTGCTGACCCAGTCGGCCCACAGCAGGCTCCCCTGGGACCAGCTGGGCCCTGGCCATGCCCACTAGCAAGCCAACAAAGCTTTGGGACACCCCATACTCCACCCATGTCAGGAATCTCCCTTCCCCCACCCCCGAAGTGATACAACACCAGCTCTGGGATCCTGGGGCCCTGCAAACATACTCCAGAACCCAGCTCTGCCTGCCAGTAGTCTGACACTAACCTCAGGACCTGGCTTCGCCCACCAGTGGGCAGACTACAATCCTGGAGTCTTCTGGATCATGGCTCTACCCACTAGTGAGCCAGTACTAGCCCCAGGGCCGCCTGGGGTTGTGCAGTCAGCTGCCTCGTGACAGCCCTGCCAACCAACAGCCAGCAGCCTCTGCGCAAGGTGGGGCCTGGCAACCAACTGGACTGGGGACTACCCAAGCCTAGCAGACTGCCCACATAGCCTGCCAAACAGAAAGACCCATGCAGCCCTCATGGGGGAAACCCTAGAGCATATAGCTTGGGGACAAGAGGGGAGTGGGGTGCTGGGACACAAAGGACGTCTATAGAAGGCCACTTCTCCAAGGTCAGGAAACAACTAACCTACACGATACATAAAAATACAAACAGCAATTTAAGCAAAGTAAGGCAACAGAAGAACATGTTCCAGATGAAGGACCAAGGTAAAAGCTAAGAAGAAGAACTAAGTGAAGTGGAGAGCGCCGATCTACCCAAGAAAGAGTTCAGGATAGTCATCATAAATATGATCAAAGAACTCGGGAGAAGAATGGATGCACAGAGCAAAAGTTAGAAGTTTTTAACAAAGAGTTAGAAAATATAAAGAACCAAACAGAGATGAAAAATACAATAACTGAAATGAAACATACACCAAGGGGAATCAAAAGTAGACCAAATGATGCAGAGGAACAGATCAGTGAGCTGGAAGACAGGGTAGTGGAAATCACTGATGCTAAAAGGAAAAAGAAAACAGAATGAAAAGAAATGAGGACAGTTTTAAGAGACCTCTGGGACAACATCAAGCATACTAACATTCACGTTACAGGAGTCCCAGAAGGAGAAGACAGAGAGAAAGGGGGCAGAGAACACATGTGAAGAGATAATAGCTGAAAACTTCCCTAATCTGGGAAAGGAAACAGTCATCCAAGTCCAGGAAGCACAGAGAGTCCCATACAGGATTAACCCAAAGAGGAACACACCAAGACACACTGTAATTAAAATGGCAAAAATTAAAGATAAAGAGAGACTATTCCAAGCAGAAAGGGGAACGCAAAAAGAAAGGAATAACATACCTGGGAATTCCCATAAGTCTATCAGCTGACTTTTCAGCAGAAACTCTGCAAGCCAGAAGGGAGCAACATGATACATTTAAAGTGATGAAAGGGAAAAATCCTGCAACCAAGAATACTGTACCCAGCAAGGCTCTCATTCAGATTTTATGGGGAGATCAAAAGCAAAAGTTCAGAACCACCAAACCAGCTTTACAAGAAATGTTATAGGAACTCTAAGTGAAAAAGAGAAGGCCACAAATAGAAACATGAAAATTACGAAAGGAAAAAGCTCACCAGTAAAGACAAATATACTATAAATGTAGGAAATCATCCGCACACAAAGCCAGTAGGCAGGTTAAAAGAAAAAAGTGGCAAAATCACCTATATCCACAATAAGTAGTTAAGGGATACACAAAACAATTAGATGTAAAATATGATGTCAAAGACAGTCATCACGATAGGAGGAGAGTACAAATGCAGGGGTGTTAAAATTCATTTGAAATTAAGAGATCAGCAACTAAAAACAATCACGTATACATAAAGATTGCTAGGTATAAACCTCATGGTAACCACAAACCAAAAATCTATAACAGATACACACACAAAAAAGAACAAGGAAAAAAATGAAATTTTGCCGTTTGCAACAACATGGATGGACTTGGGTATTGTGCTTAGTGAAGTAAGTCAAAGAGAAAGACAAGTGCTGTATGATATCACTTATACAAGGAATTTTAAAAATAAAACAAACTAGTGAATGTACCAAAAAAGAAACAGATTCACAGATATAGAAAACAAACTAATTGGTTACCAGTGGGGAGAGGGAAAGGGGGAGGGACAAGATAGGGGTAGGGGATTAAGATGTACAAACTAGTATATATAAAATAAGCTACAAGGACGTATTGTACAGCACAGGGAATAGAGCCACAATCTAGTAATGGAGACAGCTGCAGAAACTGAAAAGCACTGCGATAAAGGTTAGATTGTCAGGATGCTCTGGGCATACACAGGAGGGGCACCAACTAACTCAGCCTCAGAGAGGTGGGGTG